TAATAAAAAGCCAAATTAGATGGTCATACTAATTATGTTATGTCTGTCAGTTTCTCTCCTGATGGAAATACTTTAGCTTCTGGTAGCTAAGATAGTTCAATTTGTCTATGGGATGTCAAAACAAAAGAATAAGATCAAAAATTAGAGGGTCATATCAGCATTGTCTACTAAATCAGTTTCTCATCTGATAGAAATACATTAGCTTTTGTTAGTTAGGATAACTCTATCTGTCTATGGGATATCAAAACAGGGTAATAAAAAGCCAAATTAGATGGTCATACTAGCACGGTCTTGTCAGTCTGTTTTTCTCCTGATGGAAAGACATTAGCTTCTGGCAGTTGGGATAACTCTATCCTTCTTTGGGATGTTCAGAATGGAAAAGCTATTTCATCCTCTGACAAAATATATAAAGATATTCTAGCTTAATTTAAAGCACCACTTTGTTAAAACAATCCTTCACCAGGTATTCATTTTCTTATTATTTTATAGAATCCAACAATGCTCCCATTCTACGAATATCTCAAATACCATTATTTTAAGCTTAAGGAGCTTTAATATTGAAAGGAGATTTTATAACTCATGAAGGGTACGATTTAAAATAATTATTCAAATCCAAAAGAAGTTGCTTTTTAGAAGATTTTAATTAAAAGTGAATATTAAACAATATTACAATAATAATTGCATTCAATTTTTAATATTTTTAAGTTATATCGTTATTGATTCCGCTCTTCATCTTTACCTCTAAAACTAGGTAATTTCTTATTATTGAAAGTTTTATTACATTTAGGTTACCTCCATTATTTTAATATAAATCAAATATATTATAAGTCTAGTGTAGGGAGTATTAATTTAATTATAATAAAAACTGTTATAAATTAATATTTATAAAGGTTTAAACTTAATGGATAAAAAATTTAATAAATTCTCTACAAAGTTGAGTACTAAAAGTAAGAGTGGAATGATTTCTTAAAGAAAGTAATTTAACAAAACATCAAACTTTTAAATCATCTATATTATGATAACTTTACTCAATTTATTAGTACTTAAAAAAGTTCAAAAATAGTGAATATATTTAAGAACGAAGATTGTAAAAAAGATATGTCAAGAATTAAAAAATAATGCCAATTCTAGAATTAAACTAAACTCTAAAAAAAAGTGAAAACCATTAGATTTAATAATACCTTTTATTATTTATATAAAAAGTATGTCTGAATATAAAATAGTCTAAATATGAATTAATCACCCATAAGTATTATAAACACAAAAGATCAAGATTTAAGATTATAACTATATCTACCCTAGATTAAAAATAGAAGAAAAACAATCTACTTATCTTTTTCATGACGATTGTTGACTTAATGCTAAATGCTAAATCCAAAATTCCAACTTTTAAACATCTTTTATGAAACTTCAGATAATAAACATTTTTTAACTAATACCATAAAGAATGTAAAATTAAATATCACAGAAGTGCCAAAAAATAATGATATAAATATTGTAAAAAGTGCAGAGACTTAATAATAAATCTCTTTAAATTAATCTATAATACAATATTTGTTAAATTTCCTTTTTCTTTGCTTTCAAAATTTAATGTATTGATTTTTTTATCAAATATATGAAGAAAGATTTGCTAACTACTTGATTCTTTGAATTTAATTTATTTGAGTATGACTACTCCAAATTTGATTAAACAACTGTACCTACTCTAAATAGAAAAAGTGCAATATCATTAGTGTAAATTATTAGAAATTCTAACACTTAAGTAATCAATTTGGTTAATAAGAATAATTTATTTTCATATGTATTTATAATGATTTAAAAAAAATGAAAATGAAAATAATTTAAAAAGATGTTTCAATGATCTATTTAAATTTATGCTCTTTAATTCAAATGAATATTATATTTTTTGAATCATATAAATTTATTTATAACTTAACAAATTTTAAACAAATCAAACAACATCTAATAAAACCTTAAGAATTTGAGTTGCAATAAGAGAAATTGTTATTACATTCTGAAAATAAATATTTTACAACGGGAATTAAAAAGTATTTGATTTTTGCATAATCTGTTTTACATTGATAAATTTCTAAATTTTTCTAGATAGTTATCGCTAGATATAAGATGATTTCTTTAGGCAATTTCCAAAGAGGCTTTATCTTCAAAAATTTTAAGTCCTTACTCTAAGAGAATTGAAAAATGGTCTTTACCCATAATAATGACTTAATCCTATCTTTGCATTAATCTTATGGGGTGGAATAATAATTTATTCATAGTGATTCTAAATAGAAAATCTTTATCCAAGCTTAGAAAGATTTATGTAAATTAAATTGAAATAGTCCAAGTAAATCGAATTTGTATTCTCTTTAAATTTTTAGAAATTCCTCTATCCAACACTAGAAATATAAATCAACAATAATATCTAAAAAAGGGCTGTTAAAAGAAGAAGAAGCAAAATTTGATTGATAATTTCAAATTAAAGGCTTCTCAGGAGATAGATTTAAGAATGAGTTCTTCGGATTAGAGAGTATAAAGTTAGGCTTAATACTTCTTTTATCAGGTTTGTATTTTTTATGGATATTAAGAAAAAGTGGAAACAAAATTAGTGTTTCCAAAAAGTAAAAGTTCATCAAACATAATAACCCCCTACCTCTGCTTTAAAAAAAAATCTTATAATCTTTGGACCGCAATTCTTTGGGGAACAAGGGAATCTCTAATGAAGGGTCATAAGAAGATTTGAAGATATATAAAAAATCTGTAAAACTCCACAAAACATTAAACATAAACAGGACTAATAATTCCGAAATATTATTGATTGATGTATCATTCCCTATTATAATAAGACATATTAAAATCTCAAAATATTTAACTGAACAATTATTTATTCTTTAAATTAAAGATAAACAAGAAAATCATAGAACTCAAATTATGTAAAATTGAAATATTCATAAAAAATATATTCTTTATGATTAAAAATTACATTAATATGAATTTTGAAATAAATCCTCGATAGCATATTTTACCTCGATTATTATCAATTCCAAATCTACACAAAATTTCAACTTTAATTTTACAAAATTACAAAAGATAATTTTATCAATTTTGCAATATATAACATCATATTAGAGTAATAGATATTCAATAGATATTCAATATTAAAAATAAAAAAGAAAATGCACGGCTCTTTTTAAGTGAAGGAAGCCATAGCTGAAATAATTATTTAAGTTAAGGATGTAGATTAAAAAATTTTTGGTGTCATTTTAGAAATATTCAGAAAGGAGAAAGTTTAAGATTGCATTGGATATCTTTCAGATGATATAAATCATAAATATTTGGAATAATAAATCTTACAACAAGGTGATAATAAAAAGAAATAGAGTGAAATAATAAAGGACCTGAAACAAATAAATGATGTCTTAAAAAAAATAAAAGATCATGACTTCAATAA